ACCTCTCTCCCGATCTATATATATATGTATATATATATATATTCTAGACACTATATGTATACACTTGTTCCTTTCTGTCCGATTTCAGATGTACGGTGTAGTGTGTAGTGACCAGCCGGGTCGTTACAAACATAGCCTAAGTATTTTTTTTTTCTAAAAGAAATACATGGACCCTATACCTGAAATTGTATCTCTAACTCTTTTATTAATTTCCCCTTCTTTGTTCCTCACTTTACTACATATCGAATATTCACCAACTAATGACATAGTTAAAATAATATATATATAAACGAAAGATAATTTTTATCTTATAAATCATATTTTTAAGATTGAATTAAATTGAAATCTATATTTTAAAATAACATTAAAACTATCCTATATTTATTTAAAATGATCACTTATTAATTATAAATATATATCAAGTATAGTAATATTGAACATTAAAAATGTATATCCATTTAAAAGGACTAACCAGAACTGGCCCAATCATTATAAGATAGTTAAAGCCTTAACTTTAGCCTCCAAAAATATTTTTTATTTATTTACAGAATTTAATGAATCAATTGTATTAGTACTAATTTTGTTTTGTTAGTCACTGTCTAATAAGTCTAGCATCGTAAGAAATAAGGTTCGTTTTTAGTATTGTAATTTTTTGTTGAGAATTTTATTTTTATTTTTATGGGTTACTTTTGATTTTCTTGTCATTCTTTCATCTTAAAAAAAAATCCAACTTTATAATTGGCTTTAGGCCTTAAAATCTGTTGAGCCGACCCTAAGACTAACTACCATTTATAAATATATCAAGCTCAATAAAATTGAGGGTTAAAGGTGCATTAATTTTTTTTCAAAATTTATATTTTTGTTATTTCATTATTTGTGAGTATTTTTCATCAAATATAATTACTAAAAACATAATAATTTACCGTTTATCCGTACCCCAATAAGAATGTAACAGGAAAACAGTTAATATGCTGGAAAACAGTTTTGAACAGTTACAAATAAATTCACTTTTTTGAGAGTACGTTTTCATTTAAATGTGCTAGAAATAAAGGTTTGGATGATAGTTTTGAACAATGCACTCGTGACTTTGTATTAACTAATATAAGTGATATACACACAACCATTTATAGTTTCGTTTACTTTTATTGATTAATCATATAATTCAAAGGGATGGACAGTAGCCGTTTTTTATATTTAATTTTTAGTTTTATGGGGGCATGTTATTGACTTTCTTTCACACTTTTCTTTTTTACTCAACCTTTATATATTAAATATAAATAATTCTCTTGTATAAGAGTATTTTTAGAGATTTAATTTTTTTGGTAAAATTTTTAGGAATTCTCTTAATTTCTTATTTAATTCAATTTTTATTTATTATAATTATTTATAAATTAAATTTTAATATTTTTTAAAATGAATTAATGATAAATAAAAATAATCTTATATGTTACAATATAATTTATTTATCATAAATCTAAAATATAATATATATATAATATTTTTTATATAAATTTTAAATATATATTTATATATTAAAATATAGTATTTTTTTTATATATAATTTATTATAAGTTTTAGTTAAATATAATAAATATTTAATTTATGCATTATTCAAAATAAGATACTAGTTTTATTCTGTACTGTGATATGATACTAAAAAGCATGCAAATATTTTTAGATCATATCAATATCAATAATTGTGCTATTATTTATTTATTTTTATATAACCCTTAGGGTTAACACTACATAGACTCTTTAAAATTAGTTAGAAAATTTCGTACACTATAATATTTCTCTCTCTTTTTCACAAGGATGAAATTGAAAGTAATAATTAATACTATCTTAAAATTTTAAAACAGTAAACAAATTGAAATAAAATATTTATTAAAAGTGATAAATAAAAATAATATTAACTTGTCTAAGAATTTAGTTAAAATATAATAATTATTTTTTATATTTTGATATTCAATTATGATTATGATAGGTAGGAAGAAACGTAGTACATGACAGTAAAAAATGGTATTGGAAGTGAGAAATAATTATTAACAGAGAATTAGTAAAGTGGGAAAAAGGTGAAAGGCGTTTGGAAGAACCAAGTTCAACTCGTGAGTAGCGAGAATTATTCATGACCTATAATATTAGTTGTATTAAAAGCATGCATCAACAACAGGAAACATACATGTTTTCACTTTTCCCCTTTTTTCGTCTCTTTCTCATTCTACAGAGGGGCTTGGGCGGCGGAAATTACTTCCATTCACGTACGTACTAGCTCGTCACTTTTCACGTGCCTCATGCACCTTTATAACAAGAATCATTCAATTATTCATTTTTAATTAAACACCACCTAAAAGTTGACGTACACAAAACTTAATTCGCTACTCAACTCTGCCCAAAATTCTTCTTTTATCTTTCTATATTCACTTTCTAGTTTGAAAAAATAAAAAAAAAACACACATAGTTAACCGGCTATAAAAAGCCTTGAACTCGATCACACTGTATCAACATCAACATCAACATCAAAGGTTGTTTTCAACTCAATGGCACTTCCCTCAGGTTTTGTTACCATGGTGACACTTTTTGGTGTGGTTTTGATAGCTGGGGTCATTGTCCCAAGGGTTGAGGCCAAAAGGGCTTTCTTTGTATTTGGAGATTCACTTGTTGACAGTGGTAACAACAATTACTTAGCCACCACTGCACGAGCTGATTCTCCTCCTTATGGCATTGACTATCCAACTCGTAAACCAACCGGTCGTTTTTCTAATGGCCTCAACATTCCTGATCTTATTAGTTAAGTATTGTTTCATAACTGTATATCTTTCTCTTTTGTTTATTGACAATCATTATGTCTTAATTTATGTCAAAGTTTACGGTGTTAAATAATAGAATATATGTATTTTAAATTGGACCAGTAGAATAAAAAACAAAATAATTAATGCAGTAAAAAATAATTACTAAGAGAAAGATGTGTTGTAGTAAGATCATGGCCTCAAAGCAAACTGTTTCATCAACCATGCACGTAACCAAAACTACACATGCATTTTCGCTTTTCATGTCCTATGGTAATTGTTAGCTAATGTGTTTAGTTTAATTTATTTTAGAGAATTAAAGTCTTCTTTTTAGATATTAATAAAACATTTTTTTTATATATATAAATTAGTCTGTTTCTCTTGAAGTAAGTGTCACTAAGCATGCGCTTACATGGTAATTAATCCAACTTTTTGTAGACATGTAATCGTAAATGTGTTAGTTAATTAACCTGCATGTTTTTGTTGATTATCAGGTGAAAGAATAGGTGCTGAGTCCGTGTTGCCATATTTGAGTCCACTGCTAAAAGGTGACAATCTTCTTGATGGAGCCAATTTTGCTTCCGCTGGAATAGGCATTCTTAACGACACTGGAGCTCAGTTTGTAAGTCTGCTACTATTTTTGTTATTATTATTTTTGTTTCCTCATTGGTTACTTCCTAAATAATTCTGTTTGAAACTCTGTCAATCGTTAATTACCAACACTCAGCTAGGGATTCATTTCTCATTGTACGAAGTGAGAGCAATAACTTTTAACGAAAAGTAAAAGTATTGCATTATTTATACAATATTTTTTCTACAACACGTACATGGGTTGTATAAACTTATTGTAAACAAATAATCTGCCAAAATTAAATTGGTGGGCAATGACTTAATTAATTTTGCAGCTAAATATAATCAGAATGTATAGACAATTGGACTACTTTGAAGAGTACCAGCAACGAGTAGCAGATCAAATTGGACTAGCACGGACTAGGAAACTTGTAAATCAAGCATTGGTCCTCATCACTGTTGGTGGCAACGATTTCGTAAACAATTACTACTTGGTGCCTTATTCTGCAAGGTCTCGCCAGTTTTCGCTACAAGAGTATGTCAAATATCTCATTGTGGAGTACCGTAAACTCTTGCAGGTAATCAAAAAACACACATTAATTAACTTTTTGTAACCAATTAAATAATAATATATTAATATGCTAATTAATAGCAGCTTATGTTGTATATCTAGCCAAATGAAATTAATGTTTTTGTGTGTAACAAATTAATTATTGCAGAGACTGTATGATCTAGGAGCTCGAAGAGTAATTGTGACAGGCACTGGACCAATGGGTTGTGTTCCAGCAGAATTGGCCATGCGTGGAACAAATGGAGGATGTTCTGCTGAACTTCAACGAGCTGCATCACTTTACAACCCTCAACTGCTACACATGATACAAGGACTCAACAAGAAAGTTGGCAAAGACGTTTTTATCGCTGCAAATACAGGACTGATGCACAATGATTTCATTAGTAACCCAGAAGCATACGGTACTACCTATGCATATCGTTCTATGTCAACTTTTTTCTATGAATAGCATTCACATTAAAGCTTAATTAACTGTCAACTTGTTGGGCAGGATTTACTACATCAAGAATTGCTTGTTGTGGGCAAGGACCCTACAATGGGATTGGATTATGCACACCACTCTCTAACTTGTGCCCAAACAGAAACTTGCATGCATTTTGGGATCCATTCCATCCATCAGAAAAGGCAAACAGACTCATTGTGGAGCAGATTATGTCCGGTTCTAAACGATACATGAAACCAATGAACCTCAGCACCGTCCTAGCATTGGATGCTAGAAAATAATTAATGATAACACTCATGTCTTCTTTCTGATTGTTATAAACTTGTATCAACTATCAAGTGTTTGTGACTCTCATAGTATTTAGAGTTGTGATTTCTCCAACAAATTATTGATCAATTAAATAACTGACTCATCTTCTGTTTTCCGTCGCCTTTCTTTTATATAAATTAAACGTCACTCTGCATCTTGCTAACAAAATAATTGAGGACATCAGCAAGAAAGTCAAATATAAAATTGGCGTTGGAAAAAAGAAAAAACTACGATGACCCGACGAATGAAGATTGCAGTATACAATTATTTGGAATTTGACTGTTAAGACTTGGCTATTTTTACTTTTTATATCTTAATCCAAGAATCACAATAACTCATCATTTATGTGATTTTGTTTGACATTTGTCCTTCAACATTGTTTCACTGAACATTACGAAAACTGTCACTATGTTTATGTTAAAAAATTTACAATTAAATGATTAATATGATTTCAAATAAAATAATTTAGGAAGGAAAGTTTCTTCCTTGATGGATTCTGAAATTTAAATAAAGTGATTTTAAAGTTTAAACAAACAATTATATAAAGAAAAAAACAGGAAAGTAAAATAAACAAGAATAATCAAGAATAGAAGGATATAAACAGTTTGGACTTTGATTTGCTTTTTAGCACAAATTTCAGTTGTTGGTGTTTCTTAAGATTATAACATGCATATAGTTCTTAAAATTCTCACACGAGTTATATAATTCTCATATAAATATTCGGCTTCTCGGTTCGAAACCAGCAGAGACTAGAGAGAAGAAAGGAGACCTAAAGACATATTGTAGATACCCTCAATCAAAAGGAGATACAACCAGTAAAATCCGGAACCTTTAACCATTCATAACAAACAAGATAACCCAGATTTGCCTCCTGCGCCAGAATAATTGACCGAAGCAACCCCAGTCCTGAGGCTGAGACATTGTATTCCATTCACATATCATCCATGACATGCTCCATTTATAATCATGGCATGCCAAACAAATCCAAACGGGCTGAAGGGTTACAGTCATAATCAAGTGTATTAGCTTTATTATACAACCTTAATAGAGACTTGATTTTAATCATTTCAAGGATGTCCTCTGTCTGCAGTCATATTAATACCTTGAAGATTTCTTGATTCCTTGCCATAAATGTGTTAGAATTTTCCTCTCCTTGATTGATCAAGCATCATAAACATGTTGAAATTAAAATAATTGTTGTGTGTATATCAAGGTATTACTCTTGAAGATCACCGCTGCTGTTGAAGGAAGAGAATGCATTTGACGGGATCCCTCGATCCTCTATAAACAGGCTTGTGAAGTGATGAGGTATCTTATTTATTCCCTAAAATCCTCTTGGAGAGAAGAAGAGTTGTGTTTTATCATATTTGGTGAAAAATTGGAGAGATCATGTTCAAGAAGAGTGAGATATTATTTAAGTTATCCTTATGAGAAAAAAGAGACAAATATCGTAATCCTACTTTTATAGTGGAAATTATTTGTTGGACTATGCTTCATTATTTTTTCTCATTCACTAATACAATTAGATAAATAATGTAAATTAGTTAAATAGTGTAAAACAAGCATAATTAACTAATGCTACATTATTTATCTAACTGTAATTTTCAAATTGAGAAGGTTTTTCTTGTAAAAATTCTGATGTTACCCCTCTACTCTTTGCATGTATGTTTGCTTTTGTACGGTACCTATTTTGTATTCACATGGAAGGGAATTTGATCACGGTTAACTCTCAATAGTGATATCAAAGCTCACTTGCAGAGCTTCTAGTTTATGCAACTCAAGATGGAGGAAGTTGTTGAAAGACAAAGAAACACATATAAGGGGAATTGAATGTGCATGTGTAAATTTTTCGCAAGTCTTTTTATAAGTAAGAATTAAGCAATAAGTTATAATACAGTTTTGTCCACAAAGCGTGAAAACGCAAGAAACAAAGAACATAACTATTTTTATACTGATTCACTCCACTGATCTACGTTCCATTACTTTTATAGCAGAATTCTATTGACAAAGGATAATACAAGTATTATTTACGGTAGTTTCATTTATGGCTGACACAATATTCTCTATGTTGGCCAAAACCGTAAACTCAATATGTATAAGTAAAGAAAAGGCCCTTTTATACAGGCTGGTTCTTGCAATTAATAGCCTTCAAGATGATATTACCATTTTTTTTAGCAATAGTACACATGTTTTGAGGACTGTTGTTTGCCAACAGACGCAACCATCCTTAATGAAGACGGGAGTTGTATCGAAATCATCATATATGAGATATTTTATGGTAGTTCCACCAACAGCCAGAACAGAGATCCTTGTTATTTTGTATATGGGCATGGAACCACGATCAAAAGAGAGACATTTGCTTGACTCTATGAGTTCATTACAACTCATCAAATCTAAGGATATTGGGTTTCATTCCTTTCCATATTCTATATATGACATTCACAACGTTTTAAATAGATTGATAGGTTGATCTGAGACATATATACATTGCAAGAAGGCAATGCTCTTAACTGATGCAACAAGAATTATTTTTGTCCGTTTGTAATTATTTTTTTCTTTTTTCTTATTGAACTATACCAAAAAAAATATATGAGAAATTATAACATGGTTTTTAAACTTGTATTATAAATAAAATTTTAGTGACTTTCACTTTTATCACAAACAAAGTTTATTAATTTTTTATCTTGCACACCAATTGTATAGATTAAAGAAATAAATTTTTTATATATATATTTTGAAAGTATTTTCTATTTTTTTAGATAATAAACAATATTTGTGAGTGTGTACATGTTTAGTGTCTTTTTATGCATCAAATATGCAACAGAAAAAGTTATAATCACTTGATTAAATTTTATAATATAATACATATACATAATTTTTAATTTAAACAATGAATAGTTTTATTTTAATATTTTCTATACACTTTTAAATAACATTCTATGAATATTTGCTTTTGAACATGAAACATTTATTAATTCATAGCTAAAAAACATTCGACCTCAATTAAATATTTTAGAATTTGTAAGAATATGATTAAAAAACAAATTTTATAAATATTATATTGTAAAAAATATTTAATTTAAATATTTAAAGAATGGTAAGATATTATTTTTAAAACATTTATCATATATGGATATGATTTTATTTTTTAATTATTAAAATTGAATTTTTTTTTAAAAGTACATTATTGAAAAGATTGAAAAAGACATAACATATATATTTTTATTTAATAAAATTAAAAAAATTAAAAATTAATATTTTTAACTCATTTATTTTAATACAAGGTGTTCCTGTGTTAGGATACACACTTCAATTATCCTAGTTGTAGCGGGTCGGGTCTTGGGTTTCGGTCTTCTCGTTTCTTTCCGGGTAGTCCGAAGTGAGGGGGGTGTGCCTGCAAAGACACTCCAACGCTCAAGTAAGTGCTCGGCGTAATAAATGCGGTAGTTGAAAGTTGGTTACGTACCTTGAAAGGAGGTCTATTTATAGTGTTTCTTATTGGGTCGTGATTAGGGACTGGGCCCTGAAAAATTAGGGGACTAAATCGGCATATTACGTAAATTAATCTTTCCGTAATCACTTTGGTATAAATTCGTGCCTAGGCCGAGCACACCGACACGTTCCGTTCCATTAGTGGTCGGTTAGCTTGGGTGCTCGGTTCAGTCAGTCACAGGCTCGGGTACTCGACGTATTCGGGTACAGGGAATTGTATTATTAAATTCATGAATTGTCTTTAATTAACTATATAGATCTATTATCGTTACGCAACTTATCAATGTGGTTAACTATGTTGAAATAAAATGTAATCTTAAATAAAATTTAAAAAATGACGTTTCACCTTTTTTTTTGTAATGTTTATATTATTATATTTAATTCCTTGAAAAAAATATTATTATATTTAATTTAGAGAGATAAAATAACAGAAAGAGAAAATGGTAAATATAATAGGTAATGTGGTGAAAATAAAGAAAGAGATAAATTTTATAAACTATTTAAGAAAGAAATAAAAATAATAAATGTGATATATAATAGTCTTGGAAATTTATGAAACATTAATGATAAAGTTAAAAATGTAAAGGAAGGCAAATGATAAAGTCAAAATTTACTTGACAAAGCATAATAATATACGACCGAACAAAACAATGCCTTTTATATTTAATATAAATAGATTCTCTCAAAACTGGCAAATGGGAAATCTACACAAGAGTTAAAGTGAAATCTAATTCGATTTTGTTACGAATTAAAACTGGTTGCTATGAATGGATATATATAAAGAAAAGTAGGATTGTGAATCTCAAGCTTTCTATATATACATACGAAGCATTTCTTAACTGTTAATCTATTTATACATGGAATCTTTTTACTATTTAAATAAAGATTTTTACAGTTTTTAAGTGATAGCCAAGCTTTTTTATGAGCATCATCCATAAAAGGATACGGGGAATCCATAAGTTGGATTTGGATTGAATAATACTTACATGATTAGATAATAATTATTACTCATCCAATATACGAAAAAATATAATTATTGCGTATCCATTTGGGTGTTGAAAGTAATAACGTGATTTTTATCGAACAGGAAACAGATTGCTGAAATATTTTCATATCTGAAAAAGAAAAGAAAAATGAAACACAAGTTCGAACTACCATAACGGCTTCTCTTTTCTCTTTCACTTTAGCGTATATTTGTCCCCGATGAAAAATACAGGTGCATGTTGCTGAGTATTTATGCGGCTCAGGGTAGGACCGAATGATGTACCTTTCACTCTTTCATCATCGATTAATTTCTTAACAAGTTCCCAAGTCAAAGTGAGTGTTCGACCATATTTTCTCTAATTTTGTTATTCTCATTATAATGCAAAACATTTTCATAGTGATCCCACGTGTATGCATGCATGTCATTTCCTAAACTTTTGTTGATTACTTAACCCGAATATAGTTAATTTGTTTGTAGACTATTGTGCTATAAATAACTTGGAGTTGGAAACATAGGAGCAGTGACGAAATCAATGATTGTAATGGCTAACAACAAAATTTCAGCGCTGATTGTTGATGATGACTCTATTATTCGCAAAATCCACAAGACGATGCTTGAGCGTTTATTTAACATAGAGGCAGAAACGGTTAAGGATGGAAAGGAAGCAGTGGAACTGTGTCGTTCTGGGGCAAACTTTGACATTATTTTCATGGACAGAGAAATGCCTATCATGGATGGTGCTGAGGTACTAAATTAATTAACTAGTGTAATATGAATATGATTATAGTTGTTAATGATAAAATGTTTAATTTTATAATAGGCGACAAAACAGTTACGTGCTATGGGAGTGAAGAGCACGATTGTGGGAATCACTACCCGTGCTGGTGGCGAAGATAGAGAGGAATTTCTAGCTGCTGGTTCCAACCATTGCTTTGAGAAGCCTCTTGATCGTGCAAAGGTTGAAGTTGTCTTGCGGGAGCATAAAAAATTTACCATTTGATTCACCTTTCTCATTTTTGTAACAGACCATATAGCCAATTTTTTATTTTAAAAAAAAGAATACCATGTAGCCTATACGACCAACGTTTCTGCTGTGATGAACTATCTGCAACTTTATGTTTCTATTTGTTATTATTGGAACCAATAGCCTCGCACGTGGCCTATTTTTTCCAATAAAGAAATATTAATAACATGAATACTTTTCATGTTTTTTATTTTAAATAAATTTTATCTAAACCTCTAATTATACGGATTAGATTTACTCTTACTGGGAAAGAATCTTGATTGCATGTATGCACGATGTCAGTTTCTAATTTTGTTATTGCATTGGTAAAAAAATGTACTCTTTATTCAATAACATTCAAATAAAATTTATTTAATAATAAATATAATTAAAAATACATAAAAAAATATATATATTACGTAATATATATTATTTTAACAGTTAATTTAAGTAGACTAAATGTCGTTTGAATTATTAGAGATAGTAAAGGAGTAACATGAATATGATAGATGCTAAGTTCATTCATAATACCGATATCGTAACCTTTTTTATTAAAAAAAAAAATAAGTGTCATTTTAATATTTGCATGGGAGGATGCAAGTATCCTGAATCAATTTATATTTAAGGCTTTTGTCTAAAGGGAGCATCCTCAAAAAAAAAAAAAAAAAAA